AAGAAATGCTAAGCTCCTCTCAAGAAGACACAAATGGAACAACGGAAGAACCCAGAAAAGGAAGAGAAACCTTTGGTGAAGAATATAAACAAAATCCAGAATACATGAAACAGATGCAAAGAGATTATCAGGAAATTAAAAACTCCATTGAAAGCTGGCAAAATGCCTTGACAGAAACTAAAGTTAGCCTTTTGAAACTTGGGGAGAGATTTCAATGTGTGATCATGAAAGAAAAGACCTATTAAAAATAACAAGGAACCAGCAAAAAAACAATTCAAAGATTAGAAGATGACAAGAGATCTATAATTTAAGAATAAAAAAGTGAGCGAAGAAGCAGGAGTAGCCACAAATGAATTACAAAGGCTATTCACAGAAATAATTAAGGAAAACTTCCCAAGCATAGGAAAAAGAAATGATATCCAGATAAATGAGGCATACAGAACTCCAGCCAACTACCACCAAAACAGATCTACACCCAGACATATAATAATCAAGATTCCAGAAATCCACCACAAGAACAAAATATTAAAAGTGGTCAGAGAAAAGAAGCAGATCACCTACAGAGGAAAAATCATCAAAATAACAACAGACTTATCAACACAAACTATCATATCGAGAAAAGCCTGGGGGGAAATAGTCCAAGCTCTGAATGAGAATAACCTCCAACCCAGATTGATGTACCTGAAAAATTCTTTCTCAAAATTAATGGAGAAATAAGATGTTTTCAAGACAAGGAGGAACTGTGGGAGTTCATGACCACCAATCCAATCCTATAAAAAATACTGAAGGACATTCTAGAAAGAGAGAGAAAAAAATAACCAGGATTCCAGTAACAGTGGCAAAGAGGCATCAATGAACAGGGCAGACAGTGGAATGAAGGAGAAAAGTGGACAATTAATAGCAGAAAAATAGAATAGCAGAGATGAAGCAGAGAAGGCAGGCTATAATCTTTAATATAGATAGCCCTGATACACTAACAAAAAAGAAACAGGCAGAGTAGATTAGGAGGCAGGATCCATCAAGATTCTCTGAACAGGAAATATACTCAACCTGAAAAAGGGTCAATAAAATGAAAGTCAAAGATGAGAAAATGATGCTCTATGTGACGGGGAACCAGAGAGAAATAGGGACAACTCTCCAACAGCTGCAGATAGGTTGGAAAGTTATGATACTTTTGGGCAGTGTAGAACTACACAGCAAGAAGGAAGGAAAACCTTGTGGCTTTAGTAAGCAAAGGAGGACAGCTCAAGATCAAGCTCAGGGGTAAAAAGGTTCAGCAACACTCAGATAGATAACAGGTTGGCCCCCTAATCTAAAAACTAAAGGAGTTAGTGGGACCCAAAATATACAAAGCATCCTGAGAAGGGGAAAGGTGAAGAATTGCCTAAAAAAGAAAGGCAGAGGACACTGTTATAAGTGTGTCAGAATTTAAAAGCCATAGTAGTCTTATCACTCTGTTTAGCTTGATTATATTTTGTTCCTGCTGTCTCCTCATACTAGATTTGAGGGCACAGACAGCTATCCCCAAAATAGCAGGCTAATCCATGGTAAGTATCCTTAATGTCCTATTAATTTAAATTGAAGCCCTGTATTACCAATATTGTCTTACTATGACTGATCTTATTTGAAGCTGGTTTGTTAGACCACTGTTTTACCTTAACTGATTTTATTCAAATTTGATATGTTTGATAGTACCAAGTCTAAGAACAGAGGCAACTACTCTGAAGATGACAAGATATAATAAGATATCCATTCCAGTTTGATTATTAACTGCTTTTGAAGTTCTACAATGTCTCCAAAGTTGTGTGTTTATTAAAATATCTATGTAATTCTATGTTCAATTATAGTATGTCTGATGATGTGGACAATTCTATTGAAAATAACAAGAGAAAGCATAGTAACTACTGTAGATCACCTAATATTGTGGTTCTTTATGTCTTTTTCATTTCATGTTTTTCTAGGAATTTGTTTTGTTGTCTTGTTATGATCTGTTTTTCTCTATGATACAGAAAGGAAAGATATACATGTAGAGATTCACACATGGGGAGAATTTTTAAACAGTTTACAGGAACAGAATATATAATGCACGTTGTAATGAACAGATACTCTGAAGAAGAAGAGACACTAAGAAACCCAATGCTAATTATGTAACATTATGATATAAAATCTATCAATACTATCATTCACTGTTCAGAGGGATATTAGTCTAGTCTCTTATGTTCAATTACAGCACACATAAAGATAAGAACAGCTACTATGAAGAGAATGAGAGACAATATGGCAGTCATTATTGACTTCCCCAATGTCAGGTCTTGAAGATCTAAAAAGCCTTCATCATCCTGTTCTGATTAGATTAGTTCTATAATGTTCAGTATATATTCAATGTATGTGAAGATGGGAACAACTATTTGGAAGAACACTAGAGACAATAAAATAGACAGTGAAGATCTCCAGTGGACTTGCTTTGAAATATGTGTTTCTTAAAATTGTCTCCTTATGATGTTTTATTATGTTTAATCTAACCCTCTTTAAAATAAAAAAGAAGCATGTTTACAATATAAGACATGTAAGATATACCCATATACACAAAATTTAAACAGGTCAGTTTGAGAGTTAGTGAGAAGTGAGAAAATAATAACGACCCCTGCAATTAATGTGGAAGCATCTTCAAGGTCATGGACCCTGTGTTTTAATTGAAGACAGTTTCCTGTGATGAGAGATCTGGACTGCCATCTACATTTGCAAGAGACCTGGGCGATTAGTAAAGCACGCCTCTGGGTCTATCTTCATAGGTCATGCAGATATGAATTTAGGGACTCCATCTGGTCCCTGGCCTTTCATTTCAGGAGGGTTTCCTGATTGGTTTGCCTCCTGGCTGTTTCTTCTGCTGTACCCTTTTCTTACACTATTTTTGCCTTGGAACCAACAACCATGGACCAAACCCTCTCAAACAGTGAGCTGAAATAGACCTTCTCTCCTTTAAATGATGCACATCAGGTGTTTTGTCCCAGTAATGGAAAATTGAGGAATACACTAACTTGCCAGCTGCCTTCAGAGTCCCCCTTGACCACCACAAGAGAACTCCATCGTGCATTTCTCAGTTCACGTGACAATGTCATATACCTTTGTCAAGTCTGGGACACATATGATAGACAGAACTCTGCTGTTTTTGTCACAAGGGCTTCATGGGGATGCTGGGAAATGGGCTGGATTCCTCTGACTCCTTGGATGGTTTTTAACTTTGACTCCTTGCTTTTTCTATTATTCATTCATTCTTCAATAACATTTTAGAATCTTCTACATACCTGTATCAAAACAGTTGAGACAGTTAAAATAGGCCATGTGATGTGAGTTTAGTACAAACACTATGTAAAGGTACAAGGAGATTGAAAGGAATCCATGTGGCGGGAGGGCTGTCACCAACCAGAACCTGGGAGGCCCATGGGAGGGAGTAGTTACCAGAGCCCAGGCACAGAGGTCTCTCTATAGATAAGGTCATCTTGTAGGAGCTGTGACCTTCTGCCGAAGGATTTAGCCAGACTACCATAATCCTGCAGGGAGGAATAAATAGCCCAGCTTCGTCCTCCTCCTCTGATATCCCGTATTTCCCACAGACAGAGTGGAGCTCTGTTCACTCTGTGGAGCTCTATTCTACTCACTCCTATGAAGTGAACGATGCTCAGGCTGCCAGGACTCATTTATATGGACCCCTTCCTTCGAAGGCTGTAGCAGTGGTCATGTGGTCTTGTAAAATTTCCAAAGGTAACACACTGTGACTGCAGTTGATCAGGTATGCTGTCTGTCTACACTACAACCTTCCCTCCATTAACTTCTGAGCAGAATGACAGCAAACAAATGCCACTAGGGACAAGATCCACAGTCCAGGTGAGCAGTAGTGCTGGGAGGCCAGGATCAACTGGCCTCTTGTGTTGAAAAACCAGCCTTCTGACCCCTGATTTTTTAACAGCCTTGCTGGAGGTCCTCCCTCGGAGACGCCCTCAGTTACTTGCCAAGGTGATATTCCTCTTTGCTACAGTGAAGCTCATACAATTAGCTTTGGTAAAGCTGAGAGGCAACACTAAAAGCAAAATCCCTGATATTTATTTGATGTGTGACAGGTGCACCAAGTCCCAGAAGAGGCCACTCAGCTGCATGGTGAGTCCAAAATGAGGCAGTAAAAGTGCCAGCTGGCAAAGAGAGACTCGAGAATGAAGACACAGAGGTAAACAGAGACCTGAGTCCAGAAGGAGGCGAGACTTCCATGCTCCGGGTCAGAGAGCAGGCAGGCAGTTTGAGTAGCTTCCTTTTCCGTAGGCCAGCCTCTGGGGAAAAGGCTGCCTACCTTTCTCGGGAATGTGAGCACAGAGCCGTGTCATCTGAGGGAATTCCTCAAACGCACCTTCCCAGCGCCTAACCTCCAGATCTGCACTCTGGAAGTCCACTTTAAATGAGGTCCAAAGCCTCTTGAAACTTCTGTATTCTCCACTGTGTGCAGGTTCTCTCACAACAGCCAGACCCCCTTTCTCTCCAGTCTGTCCACCTGCTCCTCCTGCCTGGGTGTCCAGGGCTCTGTGAAGGCTGAGCAGCCCTGTATGCTGTCGCTGACTCTGGAGGCTTTATACACGCACCACTCTGTCTAGAATCCTGCCCGCTGCATGCTAGGCTCACTGTGCTTCTCCTCCTCTGTGCAGCATTTCCTGATACACACCTCCATCCCTCTCTTCCATAGGTGGACATGATTTGCTTCTCCAAAGTTCTTGTGCAGAAAGCTTGGTCCTTGATGTAAAGGTATGGAAGGGAAGAGGAACCTGTGAGAGAGGTGGGTGTCGTGGGAGGTGACTGGACAAAAGCACAGTATCCCCAAAAGGGATTTAAGCTGCCTGGAGACGACAGTTCTAGCTCCTATGAGACTTTTTCGCCCCCGAGAGCAGGATGACATGAGAACCTTTCCCACTCAAAGATAGACGCCTCTTTCCAGCTTCCATAGCCCTATCTGAAGGGTGCTGAAGCAACCCAGGTGAGGACTTCCACTGTGTGTGTCCCACATTTTCCTCCTGGCAGACACAGAACATCTCTGTCCTATCCTCGGGGTATTGGCCTGGCTCCTCGGGATGGCCGAATGCCCACTGGCCTCTCTGACCTCTAGCTGTTCAGTGTGTCCTTGTGTTCAGCATTGCCAGGACTTCACCACAGTTCCTCTCATGGTCCCTCTTCTTTCCGTCACAGCCAAAACATTCAAGGATCCAAGAAAAGGTGTTTCAATCTTCTGGCTGGCCTGAGACTCCCCAGGTAAGGGAGGTATTGTGTTGGGTCACAAATAAAATATGTAACACTGTTAATGTGTGTTTATAGTAACAAAATTCCCTTTACTTTATATTTAAACTTATTAAATTGTTTTACAAAATAAACTGCAGTTTAAAAATCAAATAAGAAAGCTTGTATGTTTGCTTAACAGGTTCATTTGTATATCTCACTGCAGGGCTGCTCCGATTTGAATTCACTTGTCTGCTGTTATGTAACTAACCTCTGTGTGCTCTTGTTTATCCAAGATGCTAAAGCAAAAACAGTCAGTGTTATTTCATGGCTAGATTATTAGTAAGCTCAGTGGTCCATTTTTCTTTCATTATCCCTTTGCTGTTCCTTGAGGATTCTTTTGATTTTTGTTTGCGATTCTCATTCCTAAGTAATATATAATTTTGAATTTAAAAACATCTTTCTTACTCACCAGTTGCTCCCTTCATGGTGCCATCTTCTGTGTGGTGGTATAGGCAGGGGACCCTCACCAGAGTCTCACCAGACAGGGCCACCTGATCTCAGCATTTCAGCCTCCAAAACTTTAGGCTAAATGAGCTTGTTTTCTTTATGAAGTATCCACTATGAGCCATTTTGTTACAACACAAAATGCAGGCACCTTCCAGGGCCCCTCCAGACGAAGCTGACCACTCAGTTCTCTCCTTACATTTTTATACCCTGTCATTCAGTCACAGGTCACATCACTTTAAAAACCAACTTGTCTGTGTCCAGATCATACTGAGATCATATGTAGATCCATTAGGTAGCGGAGCTAAGACTGCTTATGGGTATATAGTTGTTCAAAACAAATGCAAATACTGAGGTTGGTCCTGCAATAGCTCCCTTGGGCTGCCATAGTGAAATGCCACAGGCTGGGAGGTTTAAACAACAGAAATTTGCTTCCTCACAGTTCTGGTTTTTTAACTTTATTTCATTTTTAGACAAGGTTTCACTATGTACTTTAGACTGGCCTTGAGCTCACCTTGTAGCCCAGCTGGCTCTGAATTTAAAGGGATCCTCCTGCCTCAGCCTCTTGAATGCTGGGATTATAGATGTGCACCGCCACACCCAGCTGCTCACAGTTCTGGAGGTTGGCAGTCCAGTATCAAGGTGCTGGCCGAGCTGTTTTCAGCACAGGGCTCTCCCCTTGACCTGCAGATGGCCATCTTCTCCCTTGTCTTCACATGGTGTTTGCTGTGAGAACACACATTTCTGGGCTTGGTCGTCTTACAAAACCCTGAGCTAGTATGGATGAGAGCTCCACCTCAATGGCCTCATTTTAATCCAGTCACCTCCGGAGAATCTAACTTCAAATACTCTTACATGTGGAAGTACTTAGGGTGAGGACTTCAACCTAACATGGGGGTGGGGTGCTGTTCAGTTTATATCAGAGCCTGAGACCAAGATCCAGGGAGGAGCTCTTCCCTCATACGTGAAACTGGGGGGAGAGGAAAAACTGTAGGGAGCAGGAAGGTGGTGACAGGGTAGCACATGACGGCCCAGGCACCGTCTCAGTCAAGAAAAGGCTGAGGAATTTGGCACTGTGGCTACTCATGGGGATGCAGGCAGGGATAGGGCTTAGACACCAGCATGCAATGTGTTTGGGGTCTGATGGCCCGGAGGAGCTGCAACCCAACAGGAGGTTGGCACCCTGGCTCTCTTTCTAGGCTCTGAAGCTCTGGTAGCCAAAGAATAATTCATTGCTCTTGGCATCCACAGTGTCCAATGCTCTGGAATGGCAAAGGAACACAGCAAAGTTCCTGGAAGGAGATCACGATCCCCCGGATGAGACCAGGCAAGAGCTAGGTCACTACAAAGATGGATGATCCTGTCAATTCCATGTTCCTTTTTATCTTGATCTCACACTCTGCCTTGTATTCCTCTGTGTCCTAGCACACACACACACACACACACACACACACACACACAAACTCACACTCCCACAGAGTCTTCTGGTACGAGCAAGCAGTGGTAGCAGAATTTCCATAACACAAATACAGCCTATTTGTCTAAAGTTAGGTTAAAGCAGATCTTCACGGCTCTGTGAGCCTTTGCCTATGAAAGCTGTTAGCAGTAGTGTTTAGGTTTTTACCTAAAAAGCAACATGCTTATTCTTCCCTTTCCTCCAAACTCCCTCAGGTTTGTCTCACCCCAACACTCTTCTTGGGGTAGACAGGCGCCTGGTGGTGGTGGAAGGGGTTGTCTCAGCTACTCTCAGATCTGATCTGTGCATGTATTGCTCGCAGTTCATTGGGCACCAATCCTTACTGTGCTGCTTGACTGTTTGCTAATGGTAGATTTAAAAGTTGCAAGCCTGTGGGGCCTGTCCACAACCCAGGCTGGCTAAACAAAATACTGTCACAAGTGTTTGTCTGAGAAATACAGATGAACTTCTGAATTCTAATTTCTGGGACAGTGGAGGGACCTGGGAGGAAGTGCTATGTCCTGATGAAGGGAACAGGAGGCAGGAAAACAGCCTGGCTGCATGCATCTGGCCAGGCGTCCCCTCCAGGTCTACATGCAGGAAACAGACAACACATCTGCCTGGACCCCAGCCAGCTGCTGTGGAGAGCACATCGTGGCTTGAAGCGTCTCATCACAGGGAAAGGTACTCCTGCTTCCCAAGGAAGGGTAATGATCTGGGTCCCTAACCATGGGGTGAACTCAGCGGCTTTCTGTGACTCCAGGACTATGAAGAAATAAAAACCTGCTGTTTACGCCCCATGGCATGCGGTGATCTCTGTAGCATCCCTAGATGATGAGCACATCCCATTTAGCAGTAAGTGACTTATCTGAAGTCTCCGAACAAATGAGACAAGGACCAAGCACTTTAGGCTTCTAACTTTTTTATTTATTTTTGCCTTCATAGCAAGTTATCTCCTATTTTTGTCTTTTAATAAGAAGGGGAAATACAGACATTTTATACAGAGCATTTGGATAAGTAAAGCCAAGGGTGGTAGTGCACACCTATAAACCCAGCACTCAGGAGGCTGAGGCAGGAGGATCACTGAGAGTTTGAGGCCTGTCTGGGCTCCCTAGTTGAGTTCAAACCCAACCTGGACTACGTAGTAAAACTGTCACAAACCTCCTCCCCACAAAGAAAAGCAATCTTTATTAACTCCTCTTTATTGTCACAATTGTGTATATACCCAGGGTAGGAAATTTAACTTTGGACTAACTGGGTTAACTCACGGCAGAAAATGTAAAACCCTCAAGCCTATTGCTGAAGGGTACAGCCTCTGTCTGTGAGGTCCAGGGGTTCTTCTGGGCTGCCGCAGGCCCTGCTGTTCTGTGGACATGATCCGGTCCCCTCAGAGTGGCCCCAGCATTTCCAGAAGCTTCCTAAGTGCTCATACCCTCTGGTCCAGAGTCACATCCCCCTTGTTGTCTTTCACCCTTTGGGGTCTCCTGCTAAGCCTTCTCGGCCATGTTAAATTAAGTAAGCAGGAGGTCACTGACTTAACACTATGTTCGTACTGTGGGTTCTCAGGAAGAAGCCATAACTAACTGCGGAATGTACTTTTCTAACAAACACCCAGGCACCAGCCAATCACGGTAGCCAGATGATCACGCCATGCCCGGTATTTCAGAACTCACTGCACCAGACATAAGAACTGGCCCCCAAAGACAAAAGATGCCATCAAGTTTTTTATTTTTTTTAAACAAAAAGGCAGATAGATTCAGGATTGCCCAAAGTGGAGCATTTTAGGGATGTACAGGCAGAAGACAGGACGATCCCTGCACTCAGAGGGTGGCAAAGGTGGGCCACAGTGGACAGGAGCATTCCTGGGCTATCTCAGAAGCCATTCGTGCATCCAGCAGCAGCAAAGATACGCTCTCAGCATCAGCGGCCTGAACAACGAACACAGCCGAGATCTTAATGGCTTTGTCCACTGAGGCTGAGCTGTGTGCCAAGTTCACCTAGCTGACAAACACCAGCCATGGCCCCGACGGCTGCTGCCACACCAGGCCAGATCCTGACAGCTGAACCAGCCAGAAGCTCAGCGATCAGGCGACTTCTCTATGTCGCTCGGAGTGCAGCCAATAAAAGCTCATGGCCCACGCTGTTCCGGGGAGCTCTCTGAACCTGCCCAGAGTCTGAGTGATGCCCAGTTTATGGCATCTATGGCTGTTTTATATTGAAACAAAAATCTGTTAAATTTAGTTTGTTTAAATGTTTTGTTTAATGACTGGCATGGCCACTGCCTCTCTAAGTGCTGCTCCTATTAGTCTGGAATCAGGGAGGCCCCAGTGCTTTCTGTTGTGTGACTTTGCCCCCAAAAGCCCCTCGATTCATCTCCCTGCTCCCCAAACACTGAGATCAGTGACTCTGAAAAAATGATAAAAGGAAACTGCACTGAGAATAATTTACAGCTCCCACTCATGCTCAGACCCACCTAGAGACTCTCAACACTGTCGTCTTCAAAGGATTCGGCCTGTACAACAGCCCTTGGGACCTGGGTCAGCAGGGGAAACAGATGCGGCTCTGAAAAGAGCACCAGGGGGCGGGGCGTAAATTGGAATGGAAGAAATTCCACCTGTATGCTCACCAGCCTCTAATGGGAAATTAGATCACTGTGCAAATACAAACGTGGGTCACAAACCAAATCAGGACCAGCAGTGCCCCTGAATGTCATTGTCACTGACAGAAATCATCATCATTTTCTTACCAAATTAAAGTTGTTGCAGGCACCACTAAATATCATTTACCCTTCTCACTCTGAAATCACAGTACCTGTTGGACCCACTGTAAGTCTTGCTCTGTAATATAGTAACAGTTATGCATACGTGCACTACCAATTTGCTTCTATAAATATGTGAATAATTGTATGTATCTGAGTGGTTTTCTTATATGATCCTGGGTATTTTACTGTAAATACTAAACAATATTTTTCTGAGGAGGTCTCGGTGGACTTCAAAGGATCCCAGGAGAAAACAAGGCTGCTGATCAGAAAGGAAGAGGTGCTGTCTGTCATTCACCCAGGATGAGGGTATATGGCTGTCCCCAAGGAGGGTGGTCCTGCTGCCCTGGGGAGCAGGATGCAAGGTTAAGGGAACAGAAATCTCATCTAAACCTGCTTTTCTCCCAGCTTCCTGGCTTGAGGTGGAGCTCTCAGGCTAGGGGACAAGACACGCAGAGACAAAAGAAATCACTTTTGGGAGGTTCTGAGAATGTTCTGGGCTGCTTTGCACCACACATGAGAGTGAATGACACAGGGCAGGAGGAACCCTTTCCACATTCCGAGGGCCTCAGGAGGGGGCCAGGTCACACAACAGATCAGGTCCTCTTGGCACTTTTTTGGAAAGTGAATCTTGCAAAATACCGAACAGGGACACTGCAGATAACTCACCAGAAATGTGTCTTTCAGGCCCATGCTTGCAGCCAGTCTCAGAAACAGTGAGACTGTAAAGGGAAGCAAGGCCTTGTGTGAGCTGATGCATCACTACTGTGGCATAAATGAAAACACCAAGATTAGTGTCATTTCTCCCAGGGAAAGATTGTGACATCACAGGGTTCTTGGAAGGCCCATCTTTCCCGACCTGGCACATCTGTTCAACCAGAGGGGTTTGCTTTGTTTCAAGGAAAGAGAAAGCTTAGAGGGGTGTTTGGCAGGCTGCACGGCTGTGGGAATGCACCTGGGTACAGGATGAGGGAGACAGGAAGCCAGAGAAGGAATGGTGTAAACAGCTACCTCCAAAGTGTAGCATCCTCTTCACGGAAACAGCTGTCCTGCAGCTGGGCATGAAAAGTAACCTAGAGCATAGCTGTATGTTTTGCTAGGATGGGGGTAGTTTAGTCAGCTTGGGCTGACATAATATATTATGATGGACTGGACAGGAATTGATTTCTCACAGTTCCAGAGGCAAGAAGTCCAGGATCAGAATGCCAGCGCGCAGGCTCTGGCGAGGGCCCTCTTCACAGCCACAATGGCTTCCTCACATTGTGGTCTCATGTGGCAGGAAGAAGGAAGCCAGCTCTCTGGTCCCTTCTAGAGACACAAATCCCCCATCCTTACCACCTAATCACCTCCCAACGGCTTCACCCCAGATGCCAGCAGATTGAAGATTAGATGTCAACATCCAAATTTTGGATGGAGAGAACACAAGCATTGAATTCATAAGAAGAGAGAGTGCTCCCTTTGGGACGTTGCATGTCAGAGCTGCTTGCTTTTCTTCTTTGTTTCCCTGACTGTCTTCTTACATGGAGGAGTGAGGTTGAAGGGAGCTCGGAGAGAGCAGAGCTGAACCTGCAGAATAAGTGAGTGGAGGGACGGCAGAGGGTGGGCAGAGAGGCAGTGAGTTTCAGCAACTTGGGGTACAAAACTCAGGGGAAGGGAAGGGAAGATGGAGGGGGAGGACAGTTTAAGACATGTGAATACCATCTGTGGGTTGGCCTTCCTTTCATGTTCTTTACAAAATGAGCCTAAATAATAAAATTTATTTTTAACTACCCTTGGCTACTGAGTTGTGCTTCTTTAATGTGAATAGTGCTTTTTAAAAAATATGAATCTGCACACAGCCTGAGTTAAACAAAACCTATAGATAAATTAGGGCAAAGTCTATGGTCAATAAAGATAGTATAAATAAGAATTTAGTTTATCAAAAGCAAGTTAAAATGAGATACTGTAGTTTACCTACCAAACTGATTCAGCCAGCACATAGAGGAATGACCTCACAGACACACTGCTGATGGGGAAATGTTGGTGAAAGCGATTTGTAACATCTACCTTTCCTGTGATTCATTACTCACACAAGTCCCCAGTGCAGCAATCAGCTTTCCCAGTGCTAGGTAGGATGCACAGCCCAACATCAAGCAGCTTAACAAAGAAAAGTTTGATTTAGCTCATGGCTGCGGGGCAGTCGGTCCATTGTACGCTGGCCTAATGGCAGAAACATGGCGGACGAGCATGGTGGAGAAAACTGCTTAGTTTACAACAGCCAGGAACACAGCAGGGATGAGTGCCAGATAGGAAGGAATCAGGGACTAAATACAGCACCCACGGGAATGCCCTGAGTCCCACTCAGACACACCCAGAAATGTGCTTCTCCCATTCCTCTGTGGCTAACCAGCCAATGAAGGTGGCACAATCAGGCTTAACCAGCACACACAGGTAGGACTCTGCTGTGAGGGATATGTTAGTGACAAAGACCAAGACCTATCTGCAAGAGCATTTATGACCGCACGCACACACAGGTGTGTGTACCTAAACTAACAACTTCGTTCCTCCAAACACAGTATTAGTCAAATAAATTATGATACATCAATATGAAAGGATAGCAGGCACTTAAAATGATTGTAAAGTTCAGTGCCTGTGAACTAATGGCCCCTGGGTCTTGGTGTGGGCAGACGGGATGACTGTGAGAGATTTGAACAGAGACCTTTCTTTGTTTTATTGCTTTGGAGGTGGTTACAAGATTTTACACAATATCCCCAAATCATCAAACACTGAACTTAAAACTGGTCAATTTTATTCTAAATTACAACTTAAAAACAAAACAAAGGGTAAATGATATTTTAGAATAGCAGACAGATTAAAATGATAAATCTTTAAAAATTAATTTTATAACAGCATGTTAGATTAAAATTATTAAATTATAGGGAAATACTATGAAATCATATGGAAAATATACAATAAAATGCTAACAGTTATCTCTGGGGAGATGAGATGATTGAGAAGTTATCTTTCTGAATTTGGAGGTTTTATTCCCTATATTTCATAACCTTTTCCTCAACAATACAGACAGAGCTCATTAATTATGATGGCCTCTGTCTTTCAACAAGAAGAAAGTACGTGAATATGGGAAATACAGCCAGGAAAAAGCAACCGGAAGTATTCAAGCTTTGGAGCTGAACGCTTCTCATTCAGCAGAGACCACGTCCTGTGTCTCTGGAAGCAGTGGGCTTGCATGGGCTGTGAGTGTTGACCAGATTGTCGGTTGTTTCTCTTTGTGTTCCCTCTCTCTTTTTAACAGAATTTCCAATATTTCTCTGGGCAAATGTTCACCCAAAAATCAAAATTATGCTGCCTAACATTCTTTGAAAGTAGGCGTGAACAAGTGGCAAAAGTTATGGGAATGCCATACAAATAAAAATGGGTTGAGAAATTTTCCAGTGTTTCTCATAAAGGAAAGGTTAGAACGCTGGAAGCCATTTCCTTCCCCAGGCCACTCTCACTCGGACCGTGGGCGTTGGGGCGGTCATCTTGGATCACAAGATGAAAGACATAAAATACAGAGGTGGGGTACTATGATGGGAAGCACCTGGAGTTCCTGACTATTATGGAGCCCCTGTACTACCCCTGAGTACCTACTCCCACTGTTAAGTGAGAGAGAAATAAAATGTTATCTTGTTTTGGTCACTCACTACTACTTTGGGCATCTCTGGCATAGCATTGTATTCCCAAACAAAACTTTCAGCAGAGAAACCCAATAGGAAATAGAAATATATTCATCTGAGTCTTGAAAACTGAAAATCTGTAAGAATTCATTCTAAGTAATCCCAGAATATTACCTAAAGTATTAAGAAAGGCGATTATTGATAGACAGTAATATAATCCTGTATTTTAGTGCCAGACATCAGATGAAAAGATTTTTTTAATCTTACATTTTCTTTCAGTTTCTTAAGAACCCAAAACAAGCCACGAGAAAGGGATTGACCAGGTCTGCTTCTGGGACTACATCCGTCAGGGAATCCAGTGATCTCTGGGAAGGTTCAGATCTGACTCAGAATACACTGCCCATACACAGATGGATGACGGTAGACACGATGAGAAACTGGCATAATTCCTAACTTTCTCTGAGCACATATTGCATGCAGATATTGTGCTGCCTGCTTTTATGTAAGAGCTCAATCAACGCCAAGACACCTTCACAACAAGTTTAGAACCCAAAAGCTGGGGCCAGCAGACAACTGAGTTAGCTTCAGCCCGTGTTCACGGGTCGACCTCGTGGTGCCCTTGGAAGTCCGGCTTGCAGGCAGAAGCAAGCAGCAGTGTCCCATTTTTGGTTGAAATGCAATTGAAACAGCTCATTGATTTTTGTTTGTTTGTTTCTTTTTTAAACCTAGACCCCTATGACCCAACAAATTGTCAGCACACAATTGAAAGCAGTTTTAACACAAAGGCCTCTGGAATCTGTGCAGGAATAAGACGTAATAGAAGCAGGCAGGAGGGAGTGAGGGGCCACCCTTGCTATCCGGATTGTCAGTCACAGTAACGGGTCTGGGTAAGAACACTGCCTCCTCGGCATTCAGTCTATCTTTTCTCTCCGGAAGCTCGGAACCACCTCTATTACTTCTGTGGTACATTAACATTTATTTGCCTTTGAGGTAGATTAAATATTTTACTTCAAGTA